GGACAGGATTAAGGCTTACTGTGAAAAACTTGGCTTCTATTATACTATTTTAGATGCGGGTTTTTGCGTTTTTGATTGCGTTTTAATAGGGTACGTCAACAGAATGTACACTAAGAAAAAATTTTTCGAAAAATTTTCCCCCACTGGGGAAGTGTTATACATTTATAATAGATACATTTTGAGCCACAACAAGGCGTGGCGGGGTCTGCTAGTGTATAAATAATCGTAATAGAATAATAATTGATTTTTAAAAAATGTAGTTTTATTTGCACTTTACCTTTGAGGATAGACAACGGTGGAGGTGTAAATTGGTGGCGGAAAAGAGGGAGAAGGGAAATGATACTAAAACTTAACTTACATAACATAATGCAACAATAACTTAAAAATAACTTAGAAAAGATTTTTTAAAATTAGTGTTGTTTTATTTTTTATTTTTTATTTTTTTAATTTTTATCCACTGCTTGTTGTTTTCTTTCCTTCACTTCTATTAGCACTTTCACTGGATAGAGGTCGCTCGGAAAATATCTATCCAAAGAGGTTTGGCTTTGCCTACTTTTTAAAATGTTTCTAAAATGACTTGGGCAAATGTCATTACTCCGAGCAGCAATAAGGCAATTGTGAACCTTTTCGCGGTGTTTCTTTTCGATAAAATCAGTCACTTTCTGATAATACCTCAAGATTTCCTTTATCGAGCGTGATCATTCCCTCGACGAAGCAAACACGCAGACTGAGACCAACGAACAGAAGTAAATAAAAAAATGGCGCTGCGAACTAATGTAACGTCGTATGGTGAGTTTTTGTTCGTATCGTGGAGCAAAAATATGTTCGAATTTCATGTCGTATCCTGAAAATTTCGTATGCTGTGGCGTTCGTATTTTGAGGTACCACTGTAAATAAAAATGTAAATGTTCGTTTGTTCGAAAACTTAAATCTCCGAAAGTTCTTAACCGATTGCTTAGAAATTTTGACACAACGTTGAATTCGAATACGCGCGTGTTTTTATATTATATAGATGTCGAAATCCCCTCGCAGGGGAGAGGGCCAGGATTAAAGCTGATCGAAGAACTCCGCTTCTATTATACTATTTTAGATGCGGTTTTTTACATTTTTGATTGCGTTTTAATAGGGTACGTGGAGAGAATGTACATTAAGAAGGAATTCCCTCCTGCGAGGAGTGTTATACATTTATAATAGATACATTTTGAGACACAACAACGCGTGGCCGGGTATAACTAGTAAAATATGATAGAAGAGTTTGAAGTACGAAATAATTTCATAACCTTAATGTTTGTTGTTATTTTTTGCCCGAGCTATCTGCTAGTTGCTTTATATACTGTTTGTTTTAAATATAAATATAGGAATATCTGACTTTCCTTTAAAATAAGTTTCAACTATAGAATATATAATAAGATTAAATGCGTGCTTCTTGTCCTCATTTAATTACTTATATATTATGTCTTTGTGAATTTTGGACGTTCTTGTAAACTAGGAGTTGTTATACTGGGAAAGTGAACCACACAATTTCTAAGTAAAACACCTTTTAATGAACTTTTAATAAAAGAACAAATTTCGGATATTTTATTAAACTCTTATCAAAGTTCTATAACGAAGAAAACTGGTAGAATTTTGTTTCCATTTAACTTTAAACTTATGCTGTTCAATGTACTCTTCATTCATCTATCTTCAGGTAAACTGCTTCGTGTTGATGAAGGCTCTTATGTTTCCTCCGCATTAACCTGATACGATGATATGGCATTTTTGTCATGAAAGACATTGTAAAGGAAAATACACTTAAAACGAATCGCCTTTTCATTAACGATGAGCTGCAGATAGAATTGAGCCTTGAAGCTTATTATATTGGGCATGTTGTCAATTTTAGTGTGTGACATATCTTTATGATTGATAAACACTGTATAGTAGAAAATATGAGTATGTAAAGTATTTTTAATATTTTAAATCTTATTTTTTATAACTGTTAATAAATTATCCAACTAATTAATGTCATGCATTAAAACTATGCTATACCGAATTACACAACCTACAATGGAAAATTTTACTAATAAATAAATAAGAAGTAAATAATTAGATTATCAATAAGCAAATCATTTATTTGCAATAACAATATTTCCTCAGATTAGCATTTTGTATACAAGAAGATTGATTACCATATAGATTTAATCGCGAGATATCACCTAAAAGAGCATGAGTATGATTTTTAGGAACAAATCTAACAGTTCCTTCGAATAACCCATTCCCTGGTATAGTTCTCAATGTCACCGAATAATCAAATATGTTATACTCCTCGGTAGCTGCTAAGTGTTTTGAAGGAGCCTGCATTCGAGCATCGACAATGTCCTTCGTCGCTAATGTAGCACACTTCACGTAATTCCTCAATTTGCTATTTAGTATTTCTAGTAGATAATCAGCTACGTGGACCACTTCTTCATTTGTAACTGATACGCTTTTTGACTGTTGACACGTACACCAATGTTCATCAATAGAAGCATCGCTGCAGCTGCGGTTCTTCGGAATGACTTGAAAAATAGATCGAGCTCTACGAATGTAGTTCGATGCAATATCGTGAGGTACGGTCCAATAATCCATTTGAAGGGTACTTTCTTGAATATCCAATAGATTGTTTAGCGTAGCAAACAGGTCGAAAGGAGTTGTTAATCTATGTGCATTAATCTGAACATTTTTCATTAAATCAGGATGCTTTTCTCGAAAAGTAGGAGGAAAAGATATCAGGACAGCGGGTAACCTTTCTTCTAATCTGCCGATGTAAGTGCTTCTGATAGGGCCCCACCGCATACCGTGATCACTCATCAAAATGACCACAGTGTTCTTCAAATCTCCCGATTCGTGTAATCTTCGAAAGAAATCTGCATAATAACTATCCCCGTAAGAGCCATAATTGAGGAAGTGGTGAGTCAGGCTGTTGATCCATCCGAAGGCGAAGTATGAACGAGTATTGAAATTTTTAGCAAAAGATTCTAACCATGATAAGACCGCTTCCGTTTCCGAAGTAGGACCAATACATTGGTAAGTAAATCCTTCATACTTCCATCCTTGATTATCTTCAGCTTCTAAAATAAATGGACGGAAATAGTAATCGGTGGGTTGCTTGCTAAATCCGGGTTTTACGTAGTTAAAGGTGGACATGTGAGGAGTATCTTCCGCATAGAAGGTTCTGAAATTAAACTCCAGTTAAAACACATTTGTAGACGTTATTAATTTTTAATAAAACTTTTCAATTAAGATACATATATGTTAAGAATCGCAAGCGCCTGGCAATTAACGATTAATATTTCGAATAACTGTGGATAATGTGTTATTCGATAAAATTATTCAGCTCTGATTTAGCGTGTTATCCACTCGCGTACGGAATCTACAAGTTTTTGCGATGATTCAAATTGCACGCCACTGCTTTGTGCCATTGCTACGCAACATACGCTGCTTTCAAATTATTACAAACAAAATGAAAATTTCGTTCCTATAACTTTATGCCCAGTGCTAAATTTTTTCAAAAAACCTTATTTAATTTCAAATGGAATTTGTGGTTGTTTGAAGCAATCATTGATACTTCTTCGTAAATACTGCGCTTTACTATATGAGTGGTGACGTACCTCATCAATTGTTCATCGGGTTCAGCGTGTCTCGAAGGTAATGAGCTCGATGAATAAATTTTCCAACACAAATCGGCGATGAAATACTAAATCTTTACCACCCTGCTATCGATGACTTTAGGAAACTCCATGATACGCCGCCAAATCATTTTCGTAGTTTTTACGCGATCTTCTCCATCGTGTGTCTTCTGAACAAGGGTGTTCAGAACATTTGCAAACGTTTGAGAAAATTAGTAAGAAAAACGAAAAACACGTTTTTAATTAAATCAATTAGTTTTAAATCGAAAGTTCCAAATACCATAAATTTTTCCAGATTTCAATTTAGACTGAAAAGTTCAACGTAATCTGTACCTTTTCCAAATGTAAACTTCAAATACAGGAAGTGAAAAGAAAGAACGCAATTTTTCAAAGATGTGTTCCGTTCCAAATAATAATTTGAAAACGCAAAAGTTACTATACAAGGCGATTAGTCACGCATTTTGGTGATTTGCATACGTGACTTTTTGCCTTTACACCCACGTAAACAAGCAATATCTAATTAAACTGGTAGTCCGGTCGACCATCGATCGCTTGGTAATCGATGGTCATTGATTTTATTGAACTTTATAAATCTATTGGGTCGTGATCATAAAAATTATCTCTGACGTCATGTCGCAAGTGACGGTATTGCCTGTTTGCAGCGGTCTTTAGACGGCAAGAGTGCTTGTTAGCCACGTAACTGAAAGGTACTGTACTGTACATCGACCACAGATTTAGTCTTATCTGTTTTAATTACATGAGATACGTGTAACAAAGTGCGGATAGTTTGGGTAGCTTCGGTGTTTGATGTATCCATTTCCCCCTCTTCATTTTTTTTCTCCAAGAACGTTCTCCAAGAAGACTACGCTTTTTTCAAATAAAAATTGTAAGAAACCTTAAATACCTCTGAGATCGACGCAATATGCCAGTCTCTGTTGCTCGTCATTACAGTCGCGATCACGTCGTATCGCGAGTGGATAACGCGTGAAGTGTGGAGTAATGGCGACCAGAATCAATCCACTGTTGAAGTCTGGTCTATACTCGAGCCAGCTACACGCTTTAATTCTTTTAGTCATTCGGTCTAGATGTCGTGTTTGCTTTTTTTTCTATTGAAGAATTGCATACTAAGTACAACCGAACATCGATGTTCCACCTGTTCATATAGTATTACCCTCGAAAAGAAATGGCGTTAAATTGAAATTTGGCCGTATTGTCCCAGCATCTCCTATTTCAAGTTCTTCAACATTTTTATTGCAAATGAAAACACATACAGTTATCATTTACGTGTGCTTAATAATAAAGTTATATCCTTAAATAATTGTATTGCTCGGTGTTTAAAATCGTCCTATTAGATATTACTATCTTAAAAGTATATCTCATTAGCATTTATATGAAATTTATTTGAATAAATATTGAAATAAATTGAGAAGTTGCTTACATCTTACCTATAGCCAAATTCCTCGAACCTCTTCCATAACAACGGGCACTTGTCAATCACAACTTTATCACTTTTTCTACAGAACGCAATTTCTTTCTCGTGATAACCACTTAGAAGAGGAATCAGATTAGGAAAAGTATTATCTCCAACTTTGTTGTAGCCATACATTTCGATGGCATCCATATTGGTCTTCAAGTACTCTAAAGTCTTTGGCAGCTGCCTGTGCATATTCAAACGCGATACCGAATCTACTCCAATGATCATAACGCTATACAAGTCTTTCTTCTTTAATAATTGGTTAATCCTCATGGCCCTCGCTTCTACCCTTGGTTTATCGTGGATGAAGCTGTGGAATATTTTATGAATAATTGTATTATTTTTCCAGCATTCTACTGACACAAACTCGTCGTTAACTGTTGTTTCACTGGTGAAATTTACGCATGTCTTATCATACCTAAAACAATAGAAGAAACAATTTATTGCTGTTAAACCACAGGATATATTTCGTAATTTTACAGTTGTGAATTACCTAATCTCGTTATCTCGCTTTGCTTCGTACGGCCGGTAAAATGGTCTATAGCAGCAATCAATGTCATTTTCTTGAAAAATTTCGTGAGATGTGTTCAGAAACAATTGATTTCTTCGAGTAAATGTGAATGAAGGATATTTTTTTGAACAATCTAATGTTTCTTGCACTTTTACGAAACGTTTGACTGTTTCGTCGTAGGGATCGAAATCGGGTATTTGGCATTCTTCAGAATAAACCAAGAAACCCGGTTCTGGAGCTTCAACATAATTTTTATAAATTCTAATTGAACGTTTATAAAATGTTGCATTTGTTCGGTAGTAGAAACATAAATAGACTGTAGTGAAAACAATTAGCAGAAAGTACATACATGGTCCAGTTTTCGAGATAAACTTTTCTATAAAAAAATTAAAAATTAATTAAACTATAGTTTATTTCTATATTTTATATACACATACACAACACATAAATTTATAAACATTTATTTTTTTTATATTTTTTGAAGTAACGCTTCTATATATTGCGTTCGAAAAAAACACTTAACCAATCTAGAACACTTCTACATGCTCCCCTCTCCTCCTAGCTCTCTACTTCTCCCAGTTTTTCATTTTCTATTCACTTGACCTTCTCTCTACTCATCTCAATCACATAAATAAGGATGAAAATACCATTGGTATCTACAACCACTCTACCTGAGCAAGAACAATCGCATCTGAGCTGCTGATTCTGGTAAACGCAGCAGTTATTATTTATCATTGTTTATTGGACAATTTAATTTTACATTTTATAGATTATTAAACGCGAATATACATTGTTATAAAACAATATTAAATTAAAGCAGGGAAACACTACACGATTTTTCTGGGAAGACAGGTTTTTTGCCCGACAATATTTAAGGAGAGAGAGAACACGAGGCATCATTTTCCTCCAGCAAATAGTTACACGATAAGACACTTCCAAACAAAAATGGCTGCGTCATCCAGAGACGAACCTGATTGACTATTGGGAACAACAATTAATGTTTTCGAAACTTACGGGAAAACTAGCGACGGTCAACTTCCGCGTCGGGCAACACTTTAGTGACGTCAAAATCAGCCAACGGACGTCATTGGGCGGCAAAATCGTATAGTGCTCGACCGGGGCCCTTAGTCTCGAGTTTTTCGTGTTACAACTCCCAACGTGTTGAAGGTGTCACGTGGTACCATCTCACACACTGACGTCAAATTGGTAGTCTCGAGTTCTAACTCACGTGCTTTCCCATCTCACCATGCGAGTTGCTACTCACGTTGAGTCGAGCATATGAGATCGCTACACGAAAGTAAAAATGGCTGACAGATACGCCATTCTTATCGCTATCGAAGAGTTAGAAAGAGCCGAAAGACGTTGTTTGAGAAGGCAACGAATTTTTCGACCACGA